ATCAAGACGCGCCCACGTGTGCCTATATTGCTACAACAACAAAGATAACAGACCAAATAAGAGTTAAAAAGTATGTTTTGTCTTTTACAAAATTAACAGTTCCGTGTGCTCAAAAGTGATTTTTTTTACAAATATAACAGATAATGCCATTAACTCATTTTATTAAGGTAGCGGAAGATGGACTTTGACAAAAGGGTCGCCTGTTAATGACGTGCATTCGAGACAATACGTCCTTCTCCAAAGCGACGTCTAATTTAATCAACGATAGGTACAACACTAAATTCTATAGTGCATACATTGTAACTACTTTGTACGTAGAACGTGATATGAATCAAGAATACAAAAAATCATAATATTTTTGTAAACTAGCTATAAATTGAGGAATCTAAAACAAATGCTTAATTCGTAATAAAAAATTTATTAAATAGTTAGGTTGGTCTTATGATTACAGTAGTCATTACTCAATAACACTAACAGCCATTTCAATGCGACTTATTTTTTTAGCTTATATGGGTGGACGAGGCCACAGCCCACCTGGTGTTAAGTGGTTACTAGAGCCCATAGACATCTTCAACGTAAATGCGTCACCCATCCTGAGATATAAGTTCTAAGGTCTCAAGTATAGTTACAACGGCTGCCCCACCCTTCAAACCGAAACGCATTATTGCACGGCAGAAATAGGCAAGGTGGTGGTACCCACCCGCGCGGACTCACAAGAGATCCTACCACCAGTAATTACGCAAATTATAATTTTGCGGGTTTGATTTTTATTACACGATGTTATTCCTTCACCGTGGAAGTCGATCGTGAACATTTGTTGAGAACGATTTCATTAGAAAAATTGGTACCCGCCTCGGATTCGAACACCGGTGCATGGCTTCAACATGAATGCACCGGACGTCTTATCCTTTAGGCCACGACGACTTCATTTGTTAACGACATTAGTTTGAAGCTAAATAGTGTAATTTTACATTTTGTTGTACGTTTATTTAAGGTTTATCATATTATTTCTATGTACAAAGCGAGTTTCCTCATTCGTAATTGTGCCTAAGACCTCTTCTGAGAATTTAATCTCAGTTGCAAAATAAGCTTAAGTAAATAGCAAATGTCATCATAATAGATGTATGATGACATTTGCTATTCCATATTAATTCAATAATTGTAAATGTAGAGATGAATAGCTTTCCATGTTTATGGGCAACAATAATCTGAAGTTCCTTACTAGTATTTCTATAATTTATGTAATGAATTAATCTACGAAGCGCGAATGGCTGGATTGTCAAGAGACAATCCAAAACATAGACTTTGAATTCTATTCATTAAATTTTCTTTGAAAGTTTCCATATTTTTTAACATCCATCTGTGTATAGACCTAGAAATAGTGGACAATTTTAACTACCTGGGTTCCAACATTAGTAACAATGGCTCATGCGAGAAGGAAGTGCGCCGGAGAATTGGTATGGCTAAGAGTGCCATGACTCAGCTCGGAAAAATCTGGAGATCGCAACATATCCGTAAAGACCAAAACCAAACTGGTACGGACTCTAGTTTTCTCGATTTTTTCGTATGGCGCTGAGACCTGGTCACTGAAATCTGCAGACCGTAGTCGCATTGACGCCTTTGAGATGTGGTTGGTGCTAGAGAAAGAAGCTGCGTATTCCGTGGACAGCATTTCGGACCAACTTTCGGACAAATCTTGCAAGAACTCAAAATCTCCTCGCGGCTGTCATCCGAGTGTCTTCGCAGAATCCTTGAATACTTTGGTCACATCGCACGGAAGGATGGTAGCAATCTCGAGAGGCTCATCGTGACTGGTAAGGTAGATGGGAAAAGACCTCGGGGGCGCAGCCCAATACGTTGGTCCGACCAGATCCGCACCGCTCTTGATTCCACGTTTCACAACGCCCTCTACACCGCCAGAGACAAGAATGGATGGAGAAAGATCGTGCGTGCGAAGGTGATACAAAAGGGTGGTCACGATCCTCAGCAATGAGGAATACGACGCAAGGAGGAGGTGTATATATATATTCGTTTTCTAACGTCAAGAGAAGATTTCTAAATTGTTCTAGGACAACAAGCGTGATTGGCGTGCTCAATATTTTTCTTAGCTCGACCACCCTATTTGCTCCTACGATGTCTGAAGGTGGTGGTAGTTATTGTGGCTTCTCCAACAGGTATATTATTTTAAACTATTTTAATATAACGATACGATACAGTGCCGCTTTTTTTCAAAACAACATGTAAACTTTTAATAAGGGGATTAAAAGTTTTGATTGGCACGATGTTTATTCGTCTTGTATAAATTGAAATAATCGCTTTTATTTATTTAAGTACAAATAAATGAATGAAAGGCTTTTTTAAATAGACGGTAATTAGCGTTATAAGCGTAAAATATTCCAAACAACGAAAATAATATATGCATGATTAGAAATAGTTCATAGTAAAAGTAGTTTCAGTTATGTCTCATCATCATCAATCAGTCCACTGCTCGGACTAGGCTTCTCCAACTGCTTGCCACTAAACACGATCCTCGGCTTCGCTCATCCAGCTCCTGCCAGCCACCCAGCACAAATCATCACTCCACCGAGCCTGAGGGCGTCCTGCGCTGCGTTTGCTAATTCGCGGTCTCCACTCAAGAACGCGAATTATGTCTACCAATAGCGCAACCCGAAGGAAATGTGATAATTTCTATTGATTTAAAATTCACTTTGATCTTTGGCGTTAACAGTGACGAAGTCTAGTCGGATACTGGAATAGCACTTAAAACCACTACGGCTGTACGTACCCAGATGAACTCATGGACCTTTCTGCCAAGCTCATAGACTATCAGGCCCTTGCGGAAGGACCTGCACAGTGAAATCGTAAACGTGGACAAAGGAATCTTGAGATGTTGCGTTTTGCAACTTGAGCAACCCTTTGTCTCTTGGGGACAGCTACTTCCGGGGAAATAGCATAGGGTCCGTCAGAAGATCACGGGCGAGATGTGTATAGAATCGGCGAATGACAACGTCAACATTAGTTTGCCCTGTCATTAAATTGAACTAATGTTGATGACCACAGTGATGTTTTCCTTAATTGGTCGCCTCTGTTTCCATCCGATTATCGATCAGCACCACAACAAAACGCACCTGCATCGTTAATGTTAAGAATAAGGGTAGAAGGCGACACGCCACATGGTACGCAGGCTTGAAAGGCAGGACGTGGATTGAAGCAAGACTTAGGGCTAGAAATTTACCGCATTATAAAATCTGTGGTTTTCGACGGGTCGAATGGACGGGAGACCTAAAATACAACACAGGTTTGTGTTATTTCTATTACTTTCAACCATCATGTGCATGTGAGTTACTTTAAAAAATGAGTGGGGCTTGTGGAACCAAACATGGGTAATCTGATGGGAAAGAGCTGCGCATTTATGACCCTTCAGCTAAGGTAGCCCTAACCAATGTTGCCAAGAGATGGCAAAAGCACCCTACAGTATTTATCCAAAACAGAGTAATACTTGTTCCAGGATAAGTTGTGCCAAACTTCTCCTATGAATTTTTGATTGTATAATTTTTAAGAAATAAGTGATTGTTACATGTTATACGATAACACTAGTGGTCCCCTGGTAGTCAAAATTTGACTATAAATTAATTGAAATTATAATTTTGACACGCATAATTTAAGTACTAAGTTTCTGCACTCCTTCTCTATATTCTCTATAAGTGTGGAAAATTTCATACTCCTCCGTCCATGCAATTTTTGTAAAAAGGGGTACAAAGTATTTGCTTCACATATTAATATATAGATAACATGTACCAATCACTTATTTCTCTCAAGCTCACAGCAGTGCTAACATGGCTCTTGTCATCTGCAAACTCACAAACTACAACAAACATTACATTCCTTTGCCACATACTCCACCATAGTTTAGCTACACTTGATAACACAAAACCAGTTTTTTTTTCATTAAGTTTGTTGATCTAAATCTTTTCAAAATAAGTTAATATATCTAAATCTTCCTAAAGAATAATCTTCTGTCATTAAACCAAATACTTCAGCTTTTTCAAAAGGTAGATAGTACTAGCTATAATGCCAGGTAGGTTACACTTGCTTTCAATCAGCAAGTAGACTTGCAAAGTTTGTACAATAAAATTTTCTAATTTACATTAAAACAAATAAGTAATGTTTTGAAATGTGGGCAATTTATTGTAATACTACATTAATACTCAATGATCAAACAGCTGTCTGAAGTTAAGTACTATTAAAGAATTACAATAGGATTATAATGGCTAGTCATAAGTTTCTTTAACACTTTTATTAGGGTTCTTAATTCCAGCTCTAGCTTTATGTGTGTAAACATTGAATATATCTATTAAAATAATTTTAGATTACTTTTACGTTTCAAATTCACTTTGTACTGGAAATCCTAGTTTAGGGCCAAATGAGAAGATCATTTATTTTCGATACCTTATTTATTAATGATTCAAGACTTCCAATGCGTTTTGAATATGACAATGTGAATGTTGTACTGCAGAGACCAACGATTCTGAAAAGTGGGTTAAGTGAAGCCAACTGAGCTTTAACTTAAATACTGATACTGATACTTTATGAGTAGCCTTGGCTTTTTTCCAAACAATTGCCTAAATAATCACTATTCTAAGATTTAATATTTTTTTTGTTTATGAACTGTAAAACTATATGCGGCAAAACAAAAAGTAAAAAAAAATTATTTATCAAAAAAAATTTCAACTCTTGACCTAAACATTAGTTTTTGTTCATAGTATTTCATTAAACCTGAACTAGATAAGACTTACAATTCAGTAAAATGTAAGATACATTGATCTTTAGAAAGCTTAAAAATTATTGTTAGGTCAAAGTATCAATAAAACTTTTAAAATGTCGAGTTGTTTCTTGACTTACAATTATCTTAATTTAAGTTTTGAAATTTAAAGAAATAATCGTGAGTAAGTAAGTAAGTTGCAGAAACTGTTTACTTAAAATTGTTCATCATTTCTTACCTTCAATGAGCCTCATCATCAACAATGACAGATCTTGAAAACATTTTCTTCTAACAATGTAACACCATATTCATTGTTCTAAACACTTAATGTCGTTTAAACACACTAATTCATTATATGGTAAACTCAGTCACAATTACGTCAACTTTACAGGATTTTTTAAAGAAAAAATACACCCAAACATTAACAATCACTGACGACTAGTGTATAATCTATGTTGTCGGCTCAACGATGCGAATGAATCACAAACGAATAACTTCAAGAACGTTTTATTTCTACAAGTCTAAAGTTAATAAAGTGGCAGATAGACGAAAAGGACTAATTGGAATATACAAGTTTGTCCAAAAATGATTTTTTGTTTGTTTTAATTACATAAACATTTTTTACAAGTAAACAATACGTAAAAGTAAGTAATTTATCGATACACAGTTAAGAGTTATCCATTTTGATGTCTGCGAATTAATATTGTTTTACTAGAAAATGAGTTTGTGAATCTTTGTTTTTTAATTTAGATTAACACATACTAGGCCCTACGTTTAGGTTCAAATTTGTGTGCCGGAGCCAAAAAATAAAGAAGAAGAAGATGATCAAATTGTTTAGTCGGGGACTTTTTGAAGGGAAATGCGAGGATAGTTAGTGAATTAAGTGTCTTTTTCTTTAACTGTGTAATAATGGCAGCTTATTAACCACTTAGTGTCCATGAATGTGCGTCATGTGGGAAAATAAAATAAAATCGCTGGACGTTTAAAAAGCTTAATAAAAATTATGTAGTCGCTACAATAATTTTAAATTAAAAACATGTTTATTTGTTGTCTAAATTAAACGTCTAAATTAGAAGATAAAAACTAATTTAGATGGAAACTATCTTTCATAAAGTTCATACAGTTTTAATGCAATTTTAGATTATATTTCGGATATGGTTTCGCTAAATACTTTAAAAAAAAAAAATTTGCAGAAAAACGTGCACTGTGGTAAGAAACAGATTTTACAGTTACATAAATAATACATTTATAATAAAGTTTACAACTTGCTGCTTGCAGGCCATGTTTAAATATTAGGTAGTGTATAACATACCTACATATTTATGGCCACTTTTGAGCAATAAAGCTAAATTACTTTTGGCGGGAACGCGAGGAGTGAAGTTGTGTGATTTGTTTTATTTAGTCTATTTAGTGCTTCGTCAGGTTTAAATATGTAATAACGGTGGTTTATTAACTGTTTAATATCTGTGAAAGTGCACAAATGTGGGAAAATGAAACAAAGCCGCCGGCCGTAGCTTCTCGGGATCTTCCAAAAAGTCTGAGGGAGTCCGTATAGAGTCCCTTCTTTATTTCGCCGTAAAATCGTGTTCTATGTAATTAGCACCACATTTGAAACAATAGGAGTTTTGTTGTTGTAACGGCATAAATAATTCTAAGATATTATATTAAATTAGTTATTATACACATTATATTTTAGTTTTCGTTTTAAATTTTCGGCGGTAAAAAGGTCCCGTGTCACAGACTATATTCTTTTCCCCACCTCTCGTGCGTTCCGGCTTACGCATCATAAAAAGGTGCGTTCATAAACGCCACAAGTCCACTGAAAAAGTCTCAGTAAATGACCATCATCTTACTGAGATTATATTTCATCCCATATCATCTCATTACAGTTGATTAATGGGTCATATTAATCAACTGGGATGACATTAAATTGAATGAGATGATATGGGAATTTTTCATAAAAATAGGAAAATAAATTAAAATAAGACATGACTTAAAGGTCTTAGTTACCAGGTCATAAAATCCCTTAAAAAAAACTTCAATTATTTAGCTTCATTTTAGTTTTCAATTTATATTAAGCTACAGCATACCGGTAAAATGGGGCGATTAGGGATTGACAGGCGAATCGGGAAAAACCGGGAAAATCTTTCGACGCTCAATATAAGTTTTATATTCGTTGCAAAATCTTCCATTTTTTGTAGTTTAATAGTAGAATGTTGAAAGTTCACAAAACAACTCTGAATATGCATGATAATAGCTGCTAACTTATAAAAAATCGCGTTTCAAATTAACTTCCTGTGGTGGTAATTATTTTAGTGCTAGAAACTTTGCTCTCTTTTATTTATTTGATAATAATAGAAGACGACTATGATTTATAAACGTTATTTAGTGTTTGAACCAGCATATATATTAAAGGTAAGTCTCAGTTGTTATTGGTTTTAATGTATTTGATTAAATAAAAATACATGTAAAAATCTGTTGTTTTTGGGGATATTGGGGACGTCTTAGGTACAAATAACAACGAAAAAGGGGTCAATTGGGATGAGAATACGTGAAATGGAAACGACCTAAGTATAAATAGGTACAGGTTTGTAGGGTTGTCTATGTAGTTATAACAATATTTTTTAAATTTGTTGGTAAAAATCTGGTTTATTCGAAGCGAAATTGGGAATAAGTCTTTAGTTGAAATAGATAAGCAATTTAATATAAGTAAGTCGATTTTGCAGAGACATGTAACAAGATCAATGAAATCTCAAGGTGGACAAAAATGTCTAAGTAATACATAATAAAATATTTAATATTTGTTCAGAGTGGGGGTATTCATCTGATTAATCCATGGAATAACCGACACACCTAATCTCTTAACCCAGATAGAAATATCAGCCCCTAAGTACTTACCAAGAACGGAGAAATATAAACCGTTTCTAAGAAAGCTCACTATATATATATTTTGTTGTTAATGCACTGTCGATTGCACCTATAATTAAGGTGACATCTACCATGTACTTTTGTCAGTTTTTCAATTTTTTTTATTGATGATCACTTTGTTGGTGCAACTAAATAAATAAATAAATTAAAACTCTATATAAAAATAAAAGTAGTGCCAGCCCTAGCAAATTTCTCATTTCGTCCCAATTAACCGCAATTTCCGGGTAAATAGGGATTACACCTATTTCATGCATTTTTTGCTTAAACTGGAATGCTAGTTGCATAATTTTAAATTGGACAACAAAGATGCCCAAGACTCAATCATTTTGATCCTGATATAGCATTATATACATCAACAACTACCTTAAAATTGGTCATAAAGTTGGAATTTGTCCCTAATCGCCCCATTTTAGCGGTAACACTACGTTTGTTTGAATTTAGCTTGCAATTTGCATTGTGGTCTTCGTAGAACAAAGTGCTTCATTTCATAGTTTCATTCAAACTTAGAACACTATTTCAACACTTTCAAGCCTTCAAGCTACAGCTTCTTAGATCAATACAAACAGAGGTTTGGATGTACGAAACAGATTTTACTGTAGATAAAAACTTAGAGTTTTTAAATATTTTAAGCGCACTGAATTTATGGCAACCATGCAGCGCTTTAAAAAAAACAATAATACAAGTATAAAATGAAAAGTTTTGCTGATTAAAAATAGAAAGAAACTACAAAAGTATTTTATGAATTTCTTGAGAGGTAATTATGAAAGCTTGCAGTACACAGGACAATAGTGTTGAAAGTGAATTCTGTAAATTGCCAAAAAGACAGAAAAAAAACCTGAGTAACGAAAAAGCTTCCCTAATGAGGAGACGTGAAAATTTTGTAAAAGCGTGTAGGAAGGTGTCCTTCCAGGCATATTCCAATTATCGCAAACGGATGCTTTTATCATACATGCCAAGTTGTTTGACTGGAGCCTGCAAGCATTCTAAGGTAGTATTGATAATTTTGCATTAAATTTCAATTCTATTATGTAAATTGACTTTTAAAATAATTGTATTGACGTAACATAATTAATAACCGCTTTAATATAAAACGCTAATACTTACATATATGCTAAATAATAAACATTAAACACAAACAATGTTGATCTAGTACATCTAGTAGTGTTGTGTGTAGTGTAGGGTTGTGTTGTGGGTCATGTCTCCTAAAAGTTTTAAAACATTGAACAAATTATATTACAGGTTAAAGAAGGTATTCCTGATTATGCTGTAGAATCATTTAAGGTGGAAATAAACAATCATATGTGGCTAGAAGCTGTGGACATATGTCATATGAGTATATCCCCCCATTATTACTTATCAGACGATATTCTAAAGGGTTTAGTGCTTATAATACTGGTAAATATACTTTTTGTTTCATTCAATCATTATTTAGCATGCAGTAAGATTACCAAAAAACTGACATTTACAATAAATATCCAAATATCCAATTGCATAGGTGGGTAAATGAATCCTTAGCTCACATGGCATTATTTAGTTTTTCTTGAAAGATTTTATGGATTGGTGGTTTCACTTGTCACAATTTGATCATCAAAACCCATAGGTATCGTAGTGTGAATGCAGCCACACTGGAAAAAAGGTTGGTGTTTCAATTATTATATTAAGTATTAATTAATACCAAATGGAATATCTTTTGAGAATATGAGATGAAAACAAATTTATTTATAAGGATTAATATGATGATTTCAATATTTAGAAACACAAAAATATTTAAATAGTTATATCTATAAGTATCTGTAATATTTCAGAATGCCCATGACAGCAAAGAACAAGCAGCAAGTTATGTTATTGATAAATGCCAACAAATACTGTTCCAAAATTTTAACACTCATCCACCTTGTTTATTGAATTCTGATAGAAAAAATTCAGTGCGAGATTGTTATAGTCACTTCCTCTTGTCTCAGATGATTTTTAAGATTAAAAATAAGAATGAAAATAAGATAGTAACTGAAACTGAGAGAGGGATAGTGACAAGCTGTATTAAAAGATTACAGTATGAGCTACAAAAGGAGAATCCTGATGGACCAATTTTAACCAAAGAAGACTTGAAACCAAATGAACATTTAGATTACGTACAATGTATAAATTTTGAAAAAGTCATTGAAACATTTGAAACTTTAAATAAAACAGAAAGAATTATGCGACTTATGGCTGTTTTAGAAAGTGTTGTAGAACTTTTGCAATTTGATTTAGCTATTTGGTATTTCAGGTAAATATTTAAGTTAACAAAAAAAATTACTTGAAAATTTCCAAACATAATTAAAACTACTTTTACAGTTTAATCTCACATTTATTATGGACATTAAATTATTTCCCACTTTTCAAATACTTTACAATTTTGGTGATCATACAGGACTATATGTAAAAATGGTTTTAATTAAGTCAGAAATTCAGGACTATTGGAATAAACACAAAATTTTACACAAAAATGTAGACAATATAAAAATATTGCACTGGAGCACAGTACATCACCTTCAGGAGGTTGATAGGAAGTGATCGTAACTAAGGTATCATGTGTATGAAGAGATGCGTCATGCGCTCTAATCCCTCAGGCAAGTTCTAAGCAAATACCATACATACAGGAACTGCTTCTAAGATAAAGCTAACATGGTAAAAAATAAGAAAATAAAACCATAATTACTGTTGATGATGATTGTACTGTAAGCTCCGTGGTGACATTCATGTTGTGATGTTTATGGTTTAAAGTAACCTCTCAATGCTAGGTGTGCTGTTAGAACATACCCACCACATATATCATATTTAAAAATAGTATATTAATTATGAGGACAGGACTACACAGAGTTAGCCTATTTCAGATCGTGTAATCAAGATAAAAAAATAATTACAGTTCAGTTACACATGGTCGGCGATTGAAAAGATCAGATAAACCTCTAATGAGACTTGTTTTGTGGCCAAATGAAAATATAGAAATTAATAAAAATGGTCTCAGTTTACAAATCGCTAGGCTGTTTGTTAATATGATACATCTAAATTGCCCTGAAGACTATATAAAAACTATGACAGTAAGTAACAATAACATTACATATGCATTTTACCTTCCAATTCAATTACTGTTGCTTGAAAATAAAATTTTACATAATAATAGAAGACAAGGCTTATTAAGGCCAAAGACAACAATAGAAAACAAATTACTATTAAGGAATAATATAAACAATTGTTGTCCTAGGATAGCCTGCTGGTACATAGGGCCCTCACAAGTTGTTCTCCACTTGACCCTGTCTTGCACTTGCTCCTTGACATTAATCCAGGTTGCATCTTATGTTTTAATAATTATAATAATAAATAATTATAATAAAATATATAAATTATTATATTTATTAAAATTATAATTACTCGTTCTTAAAACAGAATTACTTAATCATTAATAAAATTGATCTTAACAATGCTCATGAGAATAACACAGGACAGAACTATTTATTACATAAAAATGAAAAGTAATCTTAGTTACTGCTTTAAGTATTCTCAGGATATACTTATATGAACCCATATGAATAAAAAGTTTTTTGTAAGATTTAAAAATATTCATTTTATATAAATCTTATTTCTTTTTCAGATTTTACTGAATATAACAATAGAAACTATTTATCAGTGCGACTTGAACTTTGCTAATGATTACCCAAATTTAGGAAAACATGTTAGTGCCTATGCAACTGAATTCTATGAAATTATTCAAGGTAATCAACTAATAACATTATTTTTATAAATTACATTAGTTGGTTGTTCATTTCAAGACTATTCAATATTAAAAGTGAAGGCTGTATAATTATGGTAAAAGAGGATTCCCACATAAGTGGTGGCAAAAGCGAAGATAGTTTGGAACCTCTGGGTCTGTGGAGGGACCTCGGTTCCCCTCTGTATTTTGTACCGTATGTTCCATGAGGAGTGCTCTGCGTAATTGTTAGAGATGATACTGTTATCTCGTTTTTACCATCGCACCGCCCGCCACCGGAGTAGAGTTCATTCATACTACCTGGAGCCACTGCAGTCATCCACAGTGCATTTCCAGAGGTCTTTCTTGCCACGTACCATCCGACTATGGAATGAGCTCCCCTCCACGGTGTTTCCCGAGCGCTATGACATGTCTTTCTTCAAACGAGGCTTGTGGAGACTATTAAGCGGTAGGCAGCGGCTTGGCTCTGCCCCTGGCATTGCTGAAGTCCATGGGCGACGGTAACCACTCACTATCAGGTGGGCNGTCATCCACATGCATTTCCAGAGGTCTTTCTTGCCACGTACCATCCGACTATGGAATGAGCTCCCCTCCACGGTGTTTCCCGAGCGCTATGACATGTCTTTCTTCAAACGAGGCTTGTGGAGACTATTAAGCGGTAGGCAGCGGCTTGGCTCTGCCCCTGGCATTGCTGAAGTCCATGGGCGACGGTAACCACTCACTATCAGGTGGGCCGTGTGCTCGTCTGAATACAAGGGCAAAAAAAAAAAAGGTATCCTAGGATGATCCCGTTCGACCGTTAAAGTGGGAGAAGGCAAAGGCATCAGAGCCAACTCAACTGGTATACGAAGAGCTTGTTGGGGTTTAGTCGTTAGTTGATGTAGGGCAGTGCGTGCGGTTCGCGTGCTGCTAGCGAGCAAAATCGTACTAGTGACCAAAGTATTCAAATTTAGACACCTTGATGGCAGTCCCTTAACACCAGGAGGGCCAAAAGCTTGTTTGCCCAATACTTAAAAGATAATATTATCTTACAGGTATGCCACCCGACACTATAATAAGAATTCTAGAATATATGCATCCAACATTCATCAGAAGTAAAATTGGAACAATGTATCTTCAAAAGGTATTGAGTATAGAAGGAGATTGTTTATTCATTATATTGAAAAAGTTTTTAGAGGAATCTCTTTGGAAAAACTTTCCTGTTTCTAATCGTTTAATAAAAACAGCCCCAAGTGTGTTTCCTGTACCAAAGAAAATTTCTCATAAATTGAAATATTTGCAAAGAAAATGTCTATCAGCAATGTGCGAGGAAGATTCTGGTGAAAACTTCTGTCAACTCGATTATTCAAAACAAGAGACAAGTGTTGTTCATCAAGAGCATATGTTTCACATTTTGTATGTATCTTTAGATGCATATTTGGATGGATTCAGCATTCCAAATCACAGGGATACTATTCATCAGATGAATTTGCTTGAAGGAAATTGTATAGATAATTCAGAAAATGATGTTCAATGTACAGTAACAGAGACATTTGTAAAGATGTACAAGCGTACTTATGAAGCTTTGAAAGAAATCACTCTGTTATTTGATGCCCTAAAAGATTCTGGTAGGATGCCTCCACCTGATTTAATATCTAAAATGAAAAATATTGGTCTCTTTGATAGTTTACAATGAGTATTCCGAAATTTCCAGACGCATTTGAAAATAAAAATGTAATTGAGCCATTTGTAAGTATAGATAGATTTATCTGCACAAAAATATTAAGATTTTTTTATAGGGCAGGCCCCCAGTGTCAACATAATTGTGCAATAACTTCATACATAAATATCAGTAAAATTAATTTGCATATCACTCTGAACCAAAAATCTGTCAGGTTTGTTTACGCTGTTGTGACAGTAACTTTTAAAGATATTATAAAACGGAAGAGAAATAAATCTTGATGCAGTAAAGAAGGTTATTTTTTACCCACAATGATGATATAAGTAACTTTGAATTTTATATAGATTGCAAGTGCCCTAAATTTATCTTTCTATATTATCTGAATTCAATACACAAAAGAAGTATGTATACTTTACTGTAATGATTTGTCTATAATATGCCAACCACACATGGAGAGTTTGATGTACTCACTTGTACCCATATTAACTACTCTACTTTTGAGTGAGGTCGACAAGTTCTAGGGACAGTTATACCCAATTACTCGACAACCTGGTTTGAGGTTTGAGGATGACTTCCAGTCACTGGAACAAGCTGTTTTTCGAAAAGGCTTTAGTATATACTCGTACTATAGTACCGTAGGCCATTGATACGCTGCGCAGGTTGAACAAAAGATCTATAACAATATAACTTGTCGCTTTGCTTAGCATTTGTCGACTACCATAAAGCTTTCTTTGATTCGAATGAGACCGTATTGCAGTCTCTACATTTTTTTTCTTACCTATGCTGAGAGCCTTGAGAGCCTATATCAGTGTTACCCTAGCGTAGTAGATGAGCTATCGGAGCCTAAATGGGAGGTGTTGCTAACACTGGCGCTAGCAAGAGGAGTGCTTCGCAGAATCTACCCCTGAGAAGATCCGGCGAGAAACCCAGTGGGCTGTCTCTATAGGATAATTTACTTGTCGAGCCCTTCGTCGCAAGCGACTGGATCTCTCCAAAGGTGCTAAGTTGATTACAGGTACATCGAAGTATTGAAGCCTTTGCATGAAAACGTTATAAAGTTAGTTCATTAACAGGACCTACCTTTGGGATCCATTCTGCAGCGTGGCGTGAGGAAGGGAGATGTCTTATGAGTGTTATGTCTCTGAAATTGTTTACAGTTGCGTTGGAGGATGTTTTCAAAGTCCTCAACCGGAAAGGACTATGCACAAATATTAACGGCGAGTACATAACTCACCTGTCACTGTCGACGCCCTAGACACGTTCTTACAGATCCATCCGATCCACTAACACTATTATTAGACGCCTGCAGCTCTAGCATTAGGAGCAGGTTAAGGTACCCTGGTAACCGTACTCATCGAACACGCCAAAGCGATCGACGTGCAACCTAGTCCATACATCAATCAGCTCGCTGAGTTTATCGCCGATCTTGTGCTGGATTCGCGAAGAAGCTGCGCTCGAGCTGTTAGGTCTCCTTTGGAGGCTCTCGGGCAGCAGTTATCAAATCCCATACCTCCTAGCTGAGCCTATCTGTTCTGGTAAAAGGCCACCGGGCCACCAGTATCCCTTCCTTTCTAATTCGTCTTCTATAGGTTTGCTGACGATATTATGGTTATGGATGAGATCTTGGAGGCCTTCAATACAATGCGCAACTACCACAATAGAGCTTCCATTTTAAAGAGCCTTAATATGAACATGGAAAAAACGTAAATTATGCCAAACGCTCATGTAGTGCTCACTCCTGTAAAGATCGGAAGGTCTGCGTTCGAAGTTATTGACGAGTATATTTACTGGGACATACTGTCTAGTTAGGTAAATTCAACACCGAAAAAGAGGTCAATCGTCGAATCCAGCTCAGCTGGGCAACGTTCGGTAAGCTACCTATGTAAAATCTTTTCATCACAAATGTGTACCACAGTTTCTCAAGACGAAAGTCTGGCCAGTGTGGATTGTAAGTGATGATATATGGCATTTAGATGTGGTCGCTCACAATGGGCCTTATCAGAAGGCTCAAGGTCACCTAAAGAGCAATAGAGAGGGCTATGCTCGGGAGTTTACTCCGATTAGAAATGAGGAAATTCGCGGGAAAACTATGGTAACCGTCATAGCCCAAAGGATTGTGAGCTTGAAGAGACGGCAGGTAGGGTACATTACTCAAAGAACAGATGGCTGCTGGTGTTGAAAAGTTCTCTAATGGTGACTGCGTACCTCTTATATATTATTATTATCTATGTGCGTACCCGAACACGTACTGAAGCCTCCCACAAGGTGAATACTGGTGGTAGGACCTCTTGGGAGTTCACACGGGTAGGTACCACCACCCCGCCTATTTCCGCCGTTAAGCAGTAATGCGTTTCGGTTCGAAGGGTGGGGTAGCCGTTGTAACTATACTGAGACCTTAGAACTTATATCTCAGGACGGGTGGCGCATTTACGTTGAAGATGTCTATGGGCTCCAGTAACCACTTAACCAATGAAGTAGGAAACCTATGGAAATGAAACGTCAACCAAAATTTCGTGCCAGTGTGACGTCATCTGGCCACAAAACATGGCGGCTTTAGTGCTGTACAAAAGATTTCAATGTTATCAGGTTTTATCGATAAACGGTCTTGGCTCATTTTATTTTAAATATTGTTGAGTATTATTTATTTGTAGAATTTATACTTTAATGGGAAGTAAGTAGGTATATTGTTATGTGCAAATATGATATGATTTAGATGGGTGAAATCTAAGACAAGTTCGTCCTTCGAATTTGCCAAGTAAACGATATGATGATTTTTAAAAGTTGCTACACTGATTTTATAAANATATAATGTAAATGATAGTCAACTTTAGACTATATACTTTATATATTCCATAGATGGATGAATCAGAATCTCATTTGTATAACAGCTCTCGAACACATTGAACTGGAACACATGGCTGTTTTGCAGGAGAAATAGGAAGGATGGCCAATACCTACCTATATAATTATATTTATAATATGCCTTGCCTGCCGCTAAGGAGTGTTTCAAAAATATATTAGTTTTGAAATAAACAAATAAATAACAAAAAGTGATATTATTTTTAATTAACTAATAGGGGAAATAACCAATAACTTAATAAGTTGGCATAAAATGTCCTCTTGATTTCTTTGTTCTTTTAGCTTTTTCAATATCAACATTTGGATATTCTGCTTTTAAAGTATCCATATCAAGGTTAGGGAAACGTTTGAGTAAATGTTGGACATGGTTAAAGTCTCTATTGTGTGCCTTCCTCACTTCGCTATGGATTTTTTCATTATACAATCTTCTAAACTTTTTTACTGCCAAACTGTTGATGAAGCCATGTTTTAGATATGGTCTTACCCAACGTGTGTTCATAAATTTAGGTGTATCGTATTCTGATGGTTGATACTTTTCTGGCATTCCTATAAGATTTATAACATCTTTCACAGGGCGTTCTCCAGTTTCACCTGTTTCAAGCTTGTAGTAAGCAATATTACGTTCTCTAATAACCGATTCTATGTTATTCATTGATTCTTCAACTTTGTCAATTCTTTCTGGATTTGGGAACAGTCGAACCCTTTCGTTGCACTCATGTTCCATAGTGTAAAGCATATTACGTTCTTTCAAAAGTACATACCACAATTTGTGCAAATCTGTATTGGACTTTAATCGCAACTCGTCCAGTTTCCAAGCTCTTCCTACTCTTATATTAGTTTCAGGCCAATTCTTCTTTGCATCAAAGAATTCCATTAAATCTTGCGTAGGTTTGGTTGTGTGGAAATCCCTTTTAACAATACAAGCTGCTGCTGTGTTGATAGATTTTTGTGATCGCATACATAATGTAGTGGTACTTCGAAAAATATTTTTTATTATTACAGTATTCATGCCTGTACAATATATTTTTTAATGACTTCGTTTTACTTTTCTTGGTTACTTCTACAGTTTTAAAAATATTAACCATAGATAGTGGTAGTTTTATTTTTCCAAATGGAAAGGCAAAAGTATCACACCATACAGCCTAATCTTTTATAATAATATGTGAGAAGTGTTTCGTAGTAAGTAATTTTCACCATACCCACGACTGGCCACGACAGTTGTCCTTTTCGTCTAGCTTTTTTTTCTCATTCTTATCTGACAATATTTTTTATGGTATATCGTCACTATTCTCAGATAGCTTTCGAATGGCTTTTCTTTTTAAATATAGAACAGCTTCTTCTATTCTCTCTTTTTTTTCCTCCTTTGTTTTGACACATTTTATTACATTTTCCTTTTTTATATTTTTTTCTGCAGCATTTTTTCTAGTTTTTATGTGTTCTTCCGAAGTCAATAGTGTTGCTTTGCTCTTTTACGCACTTGAATCAGTTTTTGTGGAATAGCTGATATATCCTGTAAAATTCGAGATAGGGTGTAGTCTGGATTCTTACTGAACGAAGCCTCTTTCGGAGTACTCGGGTGTGAAACATTAGACATCGTGGCAGTTCTAACGAAAGATTTTTAGCCACGATTTCAGAGCTATATTTTGTTTCATTTATTATTGGTTCCTAAGAACAACCTGGTATAGGCTCCTTCTGATTGTCCACAGCAGATTTACAATGTGAACGCACTTGTGTAACAGAAGTATTCGTCGAGTCATCTGTAGATTCTTGAAAAAACGCATAATCTGGCACCTCTTCTGGGTTAAGGGGGTACACTCCAGTTCCTTTAAAACCAGCAATTGCATTTTCCGACGATGCTGCTTTTCCCCAAGCCCTGTTAAGCGAAACTCCGAAAGAAAGCCTCGATATTCGACGTCCTGGGTTGTGGATTAACTAAAGTCTAGACCAGGGGTCGGCAACCTGTTTGTCCTTAAGGGCGCACTACTAAATTTGAAAATCACCGAGGGCGCATATTTTACAGATAATCAACAGGTATCAACGGGCATTAAAAAAAAAACGATTTTTTATAACTTTATTTTGTTTGTGTCATACATAATGATACATATAATTCAGTGTGAAACTTGGGTGTCCATATTTTCAGCTAATTTCTTATAATTGGGGATATATTTAGAGTTCCCGGTCCTTAAACAATTATCTAAATATGAGTCATTAAGCTTTGTTCGGTATTGAAAGAAAATAATTATTTCGGATTTCTTGGTCGTTTTAAATGCACGGTCTACGCGTGGTCTATTCGAAATACGACCACACACTAACAAAAAATACGTATTATTAGATACGCACAAGGTTAGCAAACTGCTAATCTATGCACAATCCTAAACTCAACTGACTACTTCCTGTATATCGCCGTTTGACAAGAGTAAGTAAATCGCTGTGGCTGTCATACATTTACATTAGTCCAGCGAGGGCGCATTAAAAATCGATCGGGGGCGCCATGGCGCCCGCGGGCACCATGGCGCCCCCGCGGCGTTGCCGATCCCCTGGTCTAGACTGTTCATAAAAGTAACGTTTTAGTGAATTAAAAACAGAACGAACTAAGGGCTGGAGATAATGAGACGTGTAACTAGGCATTGATACCAAAAGAATGTCATTCTGAATGGCATATTCCAACATTTCCACAGAATTAGAATGAGTTGAGTGGCCGTCTAACAGAAAGACAGCTTTCCCGGCTGGTTTCCTTAGAACAAAGTGTGTTTTTAACCATTCTAAAAATATTTCTGATGTTATATACGCTGATTTTTGAGACATGAATAGTTTTGATCCTGGAGGCATTCCGTGTTCAAACTCAGGCTTTTTATTTTTTCCTTTCATGATACAGGCAGGTGGCAAAAACGTGCCTTCTGAATTGCAACAGGCTATAATGGTTATTGTCTCCCCTTTTTCAGTTGATGTTACTGTGGAAAAAGCTTTAGAACCTTTTGGAAGCAAGCACGTGCCCCGGACGACTGTTTAACTGTAGGCCTGACTCATCCATGATAAATACGCAGTTAGGAGGTAGCATCTCATTCTCATGTATAAGGACGCTTTCAAGCAATTTATATTTGTAAATATGCATTAACTTCTGATCTATTNGGTTATTGTCTCCCCTTTTTCAGTTGATGTTACTGTGGAAAAAGCTTTAGAACCTTTTGGAAGCAAGCACGTGCCCCGGACGACTGTTTAACTGTAGGCCTGACTCATCCATGATAAATACGCAGTTAGGAGGTAGCATCTCATTCTCATGTATAAGGACGCTTTCAAGCAATTTATATTTGTAAATATGCATTAACTTCTGATCTATTTATTTCATTGACTCTAGACAAAGAAACTCCTTCTGACTTCCTAAGTGTAATATCAGTATTTCTGCTTAAGAACAACTGCAACCAGTCATATCCTGTTTTCTGATTGTCTTTGTTGAATCTATGTTTTAATTTTAACTGTTCGGCAAATAAGCTATTTTTCTCACATCATCCCTCGTTAAAGGAAAGCTTTTAGCTTGCATTGTTTTAATATGAGCAACCAATTTCTTCTCATTTTGTTTTACGAATAAGGTAGTTGGTCCCATAGGGCCTTTCTTGTCATCATTCTTCTTTAGTTTTCGTTTTAATGTCTTTCTAGGTATCTGATACTGGAGACTAGCCGTGCGTATAGATAATCCATCATTTTTCACAGCATTAACAGCTGCTTTTAGTCATTCTTCCGACCAGTTTCCTCTCACAGCCACTGCCTTTCTCTTATATTTATTAGGCACCTAAAACAAATAAGAAAATCAATTAATATTTTGCAGAGAACATCATTTCTGTAACATGGCACCATGGCCATCATATACTGAATAATACTGATTGCAATTGGCCATCTCTCCTTTTTTTCCGGGAGAGACGGCCACAATAAAAACTAAAAAAGTCATGACACGAAACAAACAATTTTGAGGTTATAACGTAGCAATGTTTGTATACTTTACATTAAGTACAAATATCACCATAATTTAAAGAAACTTATACTACAATTATTGAAAACAAAAAACATCAAATAAATATTTACAATAGTCGAAACAAAAAACAAACGTTTTACTTATTTTTTTTTTTTCGTCATATGTTTTGCTGTACCGCTGTCCTCACGCACGACGACAGCGAACAAAATGCTAAACGGTGAACGGTGGCATTTAATGAACGGTACTTTGAAAAGTTTGAAATATTTCGATAGGCCATCTCTCCCATATGGCCATCTACCCCGGACTTACCTAATATATATTATACGTATTATACTTATATCTGCTTGTTTTCTGTCAACACATTAAATGTCTAAATACATATAAATTGGCAAAGTCAAAACCGAACAGTACCGTTTCTCCTTTTTTTTCTCTCAAACACTTTTTTTATTTGGTACTATCGAATTTTTGTTATCAATTGTTTTCCCGCCTTTACGAGATCAAATTAAAAAAGGAAAATGTAAGATATATATAAAATGAATCGAAAATCGTTTTCTAAGAACGCTTAATCTTATTTTATATTTGAATAAAGCTTTTAACATATTAATACAAGTTTTAATTTACAAATTTATCTATCTTAACCATTGATGGAGGTATAAAAATTTTTCTTTTCCATATGCTCGGTAATAAACAACATTTCATGACAATTCGCATTGAAATTTAACCTACGCAATGTTTTTAACGTTCCGCTGCGTAGCCTAGCCGATGCCGAATTATTGAAAATTATTGATTCATAGTTTGCCGCAACTAGACAAGTTCACGATTGCACGTATTCTTTCTGAATTATCGGCCGGTATAAAACCTCAAGACCCGTGGAACAAGCATCAGTCCTGCCTGGATCTTTGCTGCTGTCCACCACCCCGTCGTTTAAATTTTACATCATGGCCTTTTTATTTAAGGTAACGTTGTATCTAACCTTATTTGTTTGTAATAGTGCTTAAGTTGCTCGGTAATGAATACACATTTCAAGAAATATTTAATGTAGAGATGTAGTTATTCTTTCTATTCTTTTCAGAAGAACTTTATTTTTTTAGTATAAAGTGGAAAAACGAATCTGTTATATACATACCCATAAAAATAATGTATGTATAATAGAAATAACAGAAAATTATTATTAGTATTGACTACGTAACTATACTGACATCTTATAATTTATATCTCAAGGTGGGTGGCGCATTTACGTTGTAGATGTCTATTGGCTCCAGTAACCACTTAACACCAGGTGGGCTGTGAGCTCGTCCACCCATCTAAGCAATAAAAAAAAACGTAATGAATATTGTTAAAATCTGATGTGTGAGCTTTGATAAATTTATAAATTTGATTGTGTTTTGTCAATGATTGAATTATTCTAATGAACGCGATCTAACTTCAAGCAAATGAAAACTATTAAAAAGAGCAGAACTGGTTTTTACTAGTATTTACGTAGTCCTCGGGTATCCATTAAACGACTTTTTTTTACTTTATCAAAAAAATATAGTAACAGCAATATTTTCTTTATTTTAATTACGAGTATTATAATTCTATAACCTAGTTTAAAATTCAAAATCTTATTAAATAATATGACACTGAAATAGCGTCAATCATGAATGCTGTGTAATGCAGGTTTTGCGTAAATAACCCATTTATTTCGAAGCTAAAGCCTCAGGTCACAACTTTCTTCGCCGCTTATTAGTTTTCATTGTCACCGGCAGTTGAGTAACGAGATAGTACCTATCAACCGTGAAGGTCATTTTTTTGCCCAACAGAAGTAGGACGTTCATGAAAATGTCAATGAGTAATATTTTTTGTACATTCAGAGTTCTAATAAAAATGACAAATTTAATGTTTCATTAATGATTGCTTAATTTGTGCTTAGTTTTTATGAAACCCACTGTTAGGTTTCCTTAAATCATGTACCTACTTAGTACAGGCTAACCGTCCTATAACACGGTAGGTACGTTCCCACAAAGTCCCGTGTAGTGCTAAACCATATTACATATATGATACTAGAAGCCAATACAAGAAGGAGAATAATTTTTCGAAATGAAACATCTTAGCTATGCCTATAATAATATGTATTTTTTTAGCGATTATAGATAAAAAATAAGCGTTAAAAATTTTGGTTAATCGCATATATTGTGTATTCTTAGCGCATAATATAATTTTATAAATAATTTTAAACAAAAATCTTGTTATCGTGTTGTAAAAGTACCGTGTTATATATAAGAGGGTTTTGGGGAATTTGTCTTTTCGTGTTAGAGTGGAACCTTGTTGTAAAATACCGTGTTATATGTCGGTTACCTATATGTCATTTCTATTCAAAAAACTAATACGTGATAGAAGAGGTGTGAGAGGTCGACCAAAGAAGACATGGATTGAGTGTGAATGACAATATGAAAGAAAGAGGAATGAGTATTGAGATGACGGCTGATAGACGAGAATAGTATAGAAGAAATCGTTACCGAGTGGGATAAAGTGAGATAAAGAAGAAGAGTACGTGACGTAGAAGTTTTTTTAGGAATTTGTTTACTGTAGTAGGTAACTAAATACTGCATGCAAATAAACGATCAAAAATTAATAAATTTCCAATACAGATATTTGTCGCGATCCTGTTAGCAACTCCAGCCTTCACTGGAAAAACGGGAGGTTATTCCTATAACCGGTTCAGTGGGCCTGTCAGCGGTCAGATCGTCGAAGTCCAAGTACCGGCGGCTGAAGGGATTCCGGCTCAACAACACGCAGATTACGGATACGATCATAATTCAGGGAAAATACACCCGGACACCGCCAAATATGCACATTTGAAGACCGTAGATTACGTGGTATGTAAAATAACAACTAGTATGTTTTCAGTTCACGCTTCTCATCGCGCAACGACACCATCACGAAGGGCTCGACGAGCGAATTAACTCATAGACACAGCCCACTGAGTTTCTCGCCGGATCTTCTCAGTGGGTCGCGTTTCCGATCCGGTAGTAGATTCTGCGAAACACTGCTCTTGCTAGGGCCAGTGTTAGCAACACTGCGGTTTGAGTCCCGTGAGCTCACCTACACGTTAGGGTGAAGCTGAAATAGCCTCTCAAGGCTATCAGCATAAGGATCAGGATCAGGTAGGAAAAAAAAGCAACGACATCGGCGTGTAGCCTCCCATTACTCGTTCGTAACTATCCCCTGAGCACTGATGATCCCGCGTGTTCTCAGCCCTTATGGATTGATGGTAATACCGATTGGTCCTATAATCTGCGGCGAAGCAACAACGTGTTGTGGCCCTAACCACATTAAATCCATTTAGTACTCCAATGCTGTTGAGATTTTAGGCTAGTGTTTTCAAGGAGGCGTTTAAGCTGTGATATATTTGAGCTCCCGTCGCTATATAAGATAAGGTGGAACTCGTCTAAACTTATAAAAACAACTATGTACGTTACGAACTGGCGGCTAATCGTGTTTATAGACTAGGCATTGTGTCATATAGAAATAATTTCAGAAAAACAATAAATAGTAAATCCTGTTGAAGATCGCTTGATGCCGTGCTGTCTTACGAGTGTGTCTGCTTCTGCCACATCTGTGTTACAGTTTAAATTTTAATATTTAAGAAAATTGGAAATTTATCTTAGTAAATATTAGATATACATAATATTATTTCATTCTTGCGACGATGATTAAGCTTTGAAATTACTGTATTGTTCTAAAATATAATAATTTTACTTTTAATTACTTGTATATTTTTTTCTTATTTATTCTATGTTGTTATCTGATCGATTCGAAATTGATATCAACATCGAAAAAACAACGCGCAAATTCGTACAGCTCGTTACATTTAGAGATAGCTACAGTCGGCGCATTCTCACTTAGACTCTAGAATTATTATTACGGATACAATAAATGTATGTTTATTCTCAGGCCAAGCCGGACTACACATACGCTTACGGCGTAGAAGATCCTCACACAGGAAACCTCCAGAACCACAAGGAACAGCGTGACGGCGACGTCGTGCGTGGAGAATATTCGCTGGTTGAGCCCGACGGTTCCGTTAGACTGGTTAGGTATACAGCAGACCCGAAGAACGGCTTCCAAGTAAGTTGCTTTGTGTTTTTAGTTCACCATATTCTACTTTGTACATCTTGTTTTTAACTCTCACAATTCAATTTGATTCGTAGGTTAACATTTAACACAAAAAAACCTTTACTATAAATGAACTGCAATTGTTTTTTACGTAAAGGAAACCACTAATTGTCTACCGTATTACTTACATTCCCTTTCACATGTTACCTTTAATGTAATAGTTCATATAAAAGCATCAATCACTAAAGTATCCTTGCTCGAGGTATGAGTTAATCGAATTGCATGGAAGTACGGAAAAATAAAAAAAATTACAAAAAAAGGAAATCGATTTCAACGAAATAAAATGAGCATCAATATAGTCGAAATCAGAATATGCATTAATAAGGACTAGTGGCCCACTCAGTTTCTCGCCGGCTCTTCTCAGTGGGTCGCGTTTCCGATCCGGTGGTAGATTCTGCGAAGCACGGCTCTTGCTAGGGTTCGTGTTAGCAGCATCGTCAGGTTTGAGCCCCGTGAGCTCACCTACTAGCCCGGTAACGCTGATATGGTCTCTCTAGACCTGATGGTCTTTTTTCCTTTTTTTTTATTGCTTATATGAATGGACGAGCTCACAGCCCACCTGGTGTTAAGTGGTTACTGGAACCCATAGGCATCTACAACGTAAATGCGCCACCCATCTCGAGATATAAGTTCTAAGGTCTCAGTATAGTTACAACGGCTACCCCACCATTCGAACCGAAACGCATTACTGCTTCACGGCGGAAATAGGCGGAAATTTCCTACCTATGCATCAGCTTAGTCAAAATTAGACTATAATTAATTGAAATTATAAGTTTGCACACTATTATGATTCTATTGTCAAAGACTAATATCCTACTATAATCACAGATTTCGCTAAGGTTACATACACTTAGACAAATATTAATAAAGACAAAGAATACATATTTAATCTATTCTCAATTTGACCACAGACTATATGCAATAAGAAAAGTTTGACAATAAACAAATAGTATGCATGCGTGTGTGTGTCAAAGACATGGTAGTGTGTGTAATGTTTTTTTTAATTGATTGAATGTATTTTTTATATTTATTTAGAGGTTCAAAGTTTTTGCTTCACGTATTAATATATAGATAACTCAAAAACTACTAGTCAGATCTTGATAAAAATAGGACCATATCAGCCTTCAAATAAATAAAAAGAATTAAAACATTCGTTTCACCTAGGAGAAAGTTCTGAGGTAACACATTTAAATAACGAATTTAACAGAGAATATTTTCCTTTTATAAAAACATTTATTTTTCAGGCTGTAGTACACAAGAAGGCCGGAGGTCAAGCCCAAGCGCCCGTACATTACGGACATCCGAAACAAGACGAAGATGACTCCAACGACTACTAGTCTTATAAAACTTTTAAATAGTACATAGTACCGATGTTGACTTATTTATTATTGTTATACTTTATTAAATCGTTGAAAAAGAAAAAAGGTCTTTATACAAAATGTGGTAAATTTAGCACTGCGGAACCCTGTAAACATTTTAGACAAATAATCTAGAAATATAACAAGTTATAGTTCACTTAAGTGTAAGGTGATAATGATTTTAGGACATAAGGCGTGCTTGATATATATTCTAAAATGTTAAATATGTTCCCAGTTAGTGTAATGTTTGAAGGTCTAGATTAATCTACAGCAATTACTACAATTTTGGCCGATTGATTGCTTTATGACGGATGGTAATTAATTAGGAAACCAGTTGATGTGTATTGATCCAAAACATTTTTGTGCTTTCGGCAATCTTTTAGTGGTATCGAAATCTACAAATTCAAGCAATTTTAAAATCTAGAAGCGTCATCATTAGATTAAAGATAGTATAAAGCAAGATAAATTGAGCTAACAAATATGCATAGGGACTTCGGTAAAAATAAATTTAACACGGTCATATTTGATAATTACGTAACAAAAATGAACGGGAATGGTTGGGAAACGAATTTATTTTATTAAATTAGATTGACTAGAATTGATACAGAATTTGTAAACTAATGAAACTATATTGGTAACGATTGTGTCATTTGTACGCTTGGTTGGTGCGTTGTACTTGGTCCGGCTCCTCCCAAAAATGCTTTCAAGAAATCCATAGGGAATGGAAAGATTATCGTGGAATTCTTCTCAGCTGATATAGAGCTCAAAGACTGCAGGTAGCGTAGCTATAATAATAAAAACGTAATATTACTAAACATTAAGGGGTCATTAAAATCTGGGATTTAACACGATAATATACTTAGTAAACTAGATACTGAATAATGGTTATTCCATGAAGCAAAGCAAAGGATTTATCTTCCAATAGAAACGGGCCGGGCTGGTTTCTCAGTCTTGCATCAAACAAATCCGTAACGAAACTATTATAATTGCGAAATAAAACTAACGACACACAATTTTCGTACCTGTAAGGCCATAGGATTGTCGATCATGACAAGTGATGCTTCCTTCAATGCTTTTGATGCTTTAATTTCCCCTTCGGCGGCAATGATTTTCGCTCTTGCTTCACGATCCGCCTCAGCTTCTGCTGCCATGGCCTTCTGTAGCTGCACGGGCAGTCGGACGTCTTTACTGAAATAAGAGTTATGTAAAAACTATCTATCTATCTGTAATCGTTTCCCTGAAAATGAATGTAACATCACGACACAATCATCTTCTTGTGTAAGTTCGCGATAGTTCTGTGCAACACTTGTTAAACAAGTTTTGTAATGTCCAATGCTTCAAAGTAGAGATTTTTTTAATTGTAAATTTACTGCTATTTTAGTGCTTACATTTCAACTCTTTCTACTTCGACACCCCAAGGCTCCGTGGCCTCATCCAGGCTAGCTTGCATCATGTGACTGATTGCTTCCCTGTCAGAGAGGAGTTGCGCTAAATCCCTCATTCCAAGAACATTCCTTAATGTTGTAGCGGCCAAGAGTCTTGTTGACGCGCTGGAATTTACCAAAAGTATTCTTAAGTTATAAGAAGTAATAGGAAGCATCCCAGATCGTATTTATTTATTTACCTATAGTCTGCAACTCTCACCACTGCATTTAAGGGTTCTTTGATTCGGTAATACACTACAGCGTCCACTGCCACTGTCACAGAATCTCGCGTTAGTACCTGCAGTAAGAAAAAAAGAAGCAAAGGTAATTGAACAAAATTTCGGTGTTCTTATATTATTATAATAAGAATTAAACAGTTACGGTTGATTGATTTTTAGCTAGCATCGATTGCTTGTACTGACATACATTAAAATCAATTGTATGATTTATATAAATTGTTTGGATTACTTAGAAAGTTCTTTCTGAAGCTTCAGAGTGACGAAAAAGATAAAGACAAAAGCTTTATTAAATATTTCTAACATACATTTTGTCGAAAAACAACACACTGCAGCGTTTTTACAACTAGACCCAAGTTTTAGATGGCTAAGATAAACGTTGACCTTAACTTCGTGTCTAACTTTAGATGCCATTAGACAAGTTCAAATGCCGTGGGAACGACATATTTCAGATTCATTTAACGCAAGATAACCTTTTCTTGATCTAATTGTTTTGAGCAGTTGTCTAGTTTGTGTAGCCAGCAGTCTAATTTGTGTTAGCTAACATAATTGTAATATATTGTTAAACTAGTTTTATAGGACATAAATAAGAATAAAAAGAGGAGTTAAAAATTTTTACTTGACATTATATTTCATTCTTTGTCTATCTATAGTATATCTGTATAGTAATGCGCCTTTCGATTTAACTACACAGTGGTGTAATAAAAAATGTGATACAATTTTTTTATAATAATAATAAATCTGAGTATAGGTACATTTAGCGTTTTTTTTTGCTTTGGATGGGCAGACGATCGCCTATAAAAATGTGTTTGATGTCTCAATGGTAATATATAAAGTGTTTCCCCCCATTGAAACCAGAACACAAGAATGTTTCGCGTCAGAAATATATAATACCTAAATGTACTTTTTTTTTTAACGCTGGGGAATCCGTTTACGGTTACCCGGTCGAGGAAGGGTAACGAACCGGGTTATGTCGGACTCCGGCGCCTCCCGAGAGGAAGAGGGAGACGAGGAGGGCCAAGGTCCTCCACCTCCCCGAATTCCTCGCAGGAGACTACGCCTTGAAAAAGGCGCGCGAGGCGCTCGCTCCGCAAAACCAACTACCGATTAAGCCCTATCGAGCTCCACCACACCGGCTACACCAGACCTACGATACCTCAGTGCGCGTCGAAAGTCCGCCTTCGCCGGTACCCGTCCCGATGATAAGACAGGATTTCATCTCCGGGAAAATCCCGAAGGACGACGTCTCGGGAGACACACCGTGGGCGGCGCACAGGAGCCACCTTGCACCGCCCCACCACCGGACCGACAGTCAAGTACCGGGCGCCCCCGCACCCGCCACCCGACAGTCCCTACGGGGGCTGAGCGGGAGCTTTACGACCGCGCCGCCCACCCCGCCTTCTGCGCTGAGGTGCTGAAGAGGGATCCCACTCCCTTTCGCGCTCCTCAGCCTTACGGGATGCCATTACCAGGTCACAAAACCTGGCCATGGCCTCCTACGAGCTCTGATCCTCTAACATACGATGACAGCCCGCAAGGAGAGGTCTCTCCCCAGCACTGCGACGAGATGTACCTGCTAGACTATTGCGCTATAACATCATTATTTACTCAAATTTATGAACATTTCGCGGACTTTAGGAGAAGCTTATCTCACGCTCTCTTTCTCTCTTTACTTATTATTTTAAAATCTTTAACAGTTACTAGTCAACGTTTTGAAGTTTCCTAATATAATATTACTTTGTAAGAAAAAAGTTGCGCAACTTATCTTATTTAATTAATTGATATAAGCAAGTGTGAAATAATCAAAAGAAATATTTCAAAGCTTAACTAGTTGAAAAATGTAACAAAAGAATATAATCACTGTTAATTTTATTGTCTGTGATCGTTAAAGTTTCGTCTGTGAATTCGGTAGGGTCATCAAAAGACTTAATATTTTATTTTCGTAACGATTCTACAAGTCTGGTATATGATGGTTTGACATTTATCTCCATGTTATCAATTTCCTTTAGTAAAAGTAGCTCTAGTTCTGCATCGAATGGTAGGACAGTTGTGGTATAGTATAAATTAAATATTGACTTCATACATAAGGTGGGGGTAGCTTCATTTACGTTGATGTCTTATGATGAGTTCTGCTAGCTAACTACCTACATATCATTAACCGTTTGCGTCAAACGATTAGCACTAGACGGGCTTATAAATTCAACTTGGTTTAATTAGGACGTGAAAATGGTATTTAGCCAGACAGCGTAACTATACTATCTTATTTTGCTAATTTCATCTATTTTATTCATTTCAATATAGAACATGGTGACAGCCCTAAAGCTAGCCGGCCCGAGGTCATATCTGCTTGCCGTCTGTTCGCAGCCGCCGAACATTTGACATATTAAAATAAACCTAGAGCCCAGGTTATGATATTGAACAAGTATTTACATATGAGCTGATAAAATAATTAATTATCTATGATCGATTCAGAGTATGAATCTAAATAAAGCACATTGTTTCAGTAGAAGGCCAACGTGAAATGAATTGTTTCTAAAAGTAATGATGTATACGTTCTTGAGAAAGATAATTTAGCACGAAAAAACAAAAGTTATAGTTTGCATTAATACATATGGCATATAATTTATTTTTTTAAATTTTCACGATTCTTCCTACATATCTGTCATCAGGAACTGTAATCTACAGCGTCATGTTCTTTTCCTTCGTTGTTACATTTTACGAATTCTATTTGTTTCATTTTCATGTGCGTCATTGGTATTAAAAGCTGTTGACCCGTTTGTTCGTAATTCAGATGGCTAACGATTAATTGATGTGGCCGTAAACTATCAATCAAAGTTTAACAACGTGTAAAACAATAGTTACTTGTGAATCGATTGTGCGCGCGCTCGCCGACCTAATAATGATTATTTTTATATCTTTTACTCATTCAGTTCGTTACAGCCTTGTTCCAAGCTTTCAATAGTTATTACACTATAATTAAATTACACGTTTGAATCACCGTTTAACAAAAAATATAATCGCGCAATTTCTGGTGAGACGTATTGTTAGCCTGCGCGGGTAGGTGGCACCAACCTGCCTCTTTCTGCCGCGAAGCAGTAATGCATTCCACTTTGAAGGGGTTAGAACAGCTGTTATAATTTATGTCTATGGACTTCGGTAACTACTTAATACCAAGTGGTCGGGAATGTCGTTAGCCTTAATCCGTCTATGCGAAAAAAAGTTGATACAATTGAATGAATAGACAGGAAAGTCTCTAGGCTGAACCCCGTGAACTCGCCTACATGTCCGGTGAAGCTGGTAAAACCCCTCGAGGATACTAGCAATAGGTAGCTAAAAAAATATCAGTGATCCAAAAAACATTATTCTGTCCGAATATAAATTAAAATTTGTAAGAGTTGTTTTGCCGGCAAATTTTTTCAGAATTTATTTTCGCTAGGAAACAAAAAAAAAAGAGAGAGAAATGAAAAACGAGACAGTGGTGTCGGTTTATTTTCACACGCGGTGTAAATATTTCTATACATCTGCTCTCAGAAATAAAAATTATTAAAACGTATACAAACACGTCCAGCTTCGTAACAACATATTTTATGAAACAGGAATAGGAGTTAATGATGAGAGAAGACCGACTCTGTTTTACAGCGCTCGCATTGTTGCGAATGTTTGAGAGGGCCGATCGATATCTAAATTTAATAAGTACATACTACCAAGTAACATTAAAAACTGATGAAACTAATTGGTTTTGTCAAAACTACCAATAGCATTTGTCAAGATTTCCGTTAAGAATTTCGATAGCTATATATTATTATGTACATATGAATGTATCGCCTCCCACTTTGAGGCATGGGTTTTGAGAGTTCCATTTTTACAGTACAATCTGCCTGATCTAATCTTGTCACCGAAACGCATTACCGTTTCACGGCAGGAATAGGCAACGCGCTGGTACCTAGCCGTGCGGACTCACAAGACGTTCTACATACCACTAATAATTACAAATTATAATTTTGCGGGTTTGATTTTTATTACACATTGTTGTTTCTTAACCGTGGAAGTCAACCGTGAGCATTTTTAACTACGTATATCATTAGAAACATTACAATTTGTTCCTGCTTGCGAGATTCGATTGCATCGCTTAATACGAATATACGCTTAATACGCTTAATACGAAGGTCTTCTTATCCTTTAGGGCCAGAACGACTTCACTAGAAATTGAAGCACATTTTTATATATAATCTTATACCTTTAAACGAGCAATTCTTGTATATATATATATATAATCTGAATCTCGGAAACGGCTCCAACGATTTTCATAAAATTTAGTATGCAGGGGATTTCGGGGGACGATAAATCGATCTAGCTACGCTAGCTTATTCGTGTTTTCAATAATCAACTCTTCCCGACATCTATTGGCGAATAATAATACTATTTTTCTTAATTGAGGGCAACTAACCGCTTTAAAGACACAACAAGATGGCGTTATCAAAAAATCGGTTATCGTCTAGTAAGAATAAAAAGAGGAGTTAAATTTTTTTACTTGACAATATATTTCATTCTTTGTCCATCTATAATATATCTGTATAGTAATGCGCTTTTCGATTTAACTACAGTTGTGTAATAAAAAATGTGATACAATTTAGGCGCTATAAAAAAAATCATCTCATCGGTCATCATCTAGTATTATTGAAATGGGCTACGTTCCCGCTGTGAAATTCGCTAAATGTTTGTAATGCACTTTTTTGTTGTTTTTCTTGAGCACCACTTAACGTACGTTGACGGTATTATAACAAAAGCCTTCTATGAATTGACAACAACAACTGTGCTTGAAAATTACGAACAAAAAAAACATGATTTTTGAATCGTCTTGCCTATTATTTGTTTTAATTTGTAGGTACCTGATTAGAATTCTTTACTTGTTATGTATCACCTCATAAAGTCTCAAATGATTTGAATAGGCGTAGCGTGTACATATGTACATATTTTTAACTCAAATAAATATAGAAACTTATAATCATTTTATTTCGATATTAAATTGTTCTTGAACCGTTCTTTACTTACCTCTTGTGGCGGTACGTCAAACGAAACCGTTCGTAGATCTACTTTTCTATAAGTGTCTATGCAGGGAAGAACAAAGAATAGTCCTGGGCCTCTCGCGCCGCCTTTCCTTAATCTGCCTAGTCTGAAGATTACAGCTCTTTCAAATTCTTGCACAACCTGATTGTAGAAGATAGCATTAAAAAATTACATATAAAAATAATAGCATAGAATATTATAAAGTATTAGCTGTACCCGTCCGCTTCGCTGGGCATTTAAAATTAACATTATTATTTCTCACCCCCACAAAGATTCTCATCATTAACGCCCCCCACCCCCCAACTGGTGTAGGGAGTCCAACACTCATATAAATATTAGTCTATGCATTAAGTACATGTATTTTCTACATGGATACCAAGTTTCAAATCAATCGGATGCATGGTTCAGTAGTTATAACGGAACATCCGTAAAAACCACTGTAGATTTATATATTAGTATAGATAACAGTATAATCTTTCATATTTTCGGATTACAATACTTTGAATCGTAGTATTCGAACGTTTCGGCAGGTAGGTAATCAGGTAGGTAATCAAAAAGTGGTATTTAATATATGGAGCATGTTTTTGTACTATCTTAAGATGAAAGAAGATTCATTATTCACTTTGAGATGAATAAATGAGATGGAATGTTTCAATGAGGACTTTCTAATAGTAAGGATATATCTGAAGTAATCAAAATAGAATCATGCGTAATTTCGCAAATCTATTTAATAGACTAGAGCTATTGAAAGTTAAATTGTATTACGTACCTTAAAACATTCAAATAACGAAAAAGGGAAGGTGATGATGACAAGTAGATATGACAGTAAAGTTGCAAATCGTTCTACACATCCAACGGCTTCTGGGTTCGCTGTCACAGAAAAAATAAACTGAATTCCCTTTAGTATTCCCACGATTAATTACGTAGAAAATATATATTTCAATTTGACTCACAGTAGAGTTGGATTAATTTAAACAAACTAGTATTACAGACAGTGATTACGAACGTAATTGTTTACAAAATTAGGTTAATTTGAAAATAATAATATGTAAGCGCACAACAATAAATAGGCTTTCTTATAAGATGGCACTCACTCACACTCGGATTTTTCAAGCTACTTACGCATTTGTATCGTGATAGCGCAAGAAGTACCCGTATCGCAATCTAAAATATCGAAACGTATAATATTAGAGCCGTAATGACACGTAAAAAAACTGTCTAAATTATTTTTTTTCGTTTTACTCACGACTAGGTACGTTGTCACGCCTAGTGCTTACTGTTCTTACTTCCCTGCGCATTTTACGTGCCCGCCGTATGCTACGTTATTATTTTGTTATTTATATACAACGGAATGTAATTTGAAATGCCTACAACAGCGTATTACTCGGCCAACAAGCGCAGAATGCGCTGACATACAGACTAACTTACTGTCAGGAGTCCAGCTGTTTACACGACCCAAAAACTACACTGATTCTAACTAAAAATATCAATTAGAGTGCGGTGTTCGGTAACAATGAGAAAGCCATAAATCACCGTCGTTAGCGTTTATGCAAAAAGTATTTACGTATTTCGAAGTAGCACTCCACTTCCCCTGAGTCCTTGTCGTGGCAACCGAAATCCATGTGGAGGAATAGGTTGGGTAATGTACAATGAACGCATTAGCTGCCGTGTCAACCGGTGATAAGTAGTGGTGTCCTCTCGGTGTCTATATTGGAACTAAGGTGAGGAGCGCGGAGATCAGGTTGTCGATAAAAATAAATAAATAAACGCACTTTCGGGCATAACGACGGGCGGGCGCGGGCGCACACCGGACCGCGATCAACCAAATTGTGAGTTTCAGGTATTCGGGAAGAGGAGCCGCCTCTTGCGCCGTTGCAGTTTATAATTTAAAAGCGGATGTTTGGACCATCATTTTGAGAATTTCCGATCGTTCATTTTATGGCTGCATCTCTCGGAACTTTGCTCTCGGATATCTGCGTACTAGATTCAATATTTTAATATCAGATCATCTCCAGTTTTCGCGAGTCGTAGAGATAATTAAAACGCAAAAGTAAACAATCTCAAACATCTCGTGTTCTTATTGTCATTATATTGTTTTTGACGTTTCGAATATTTCACAGTTTTCGTAATAATCCTGTGAGTCGTCGTGAGTCATATAAAAAAATAATAGTTTTCATTTATTTTAATATAAATTAAACTTTTAGATCTCTAGCAGCCAGCCAGAAAGCTAAACAAACACATAATTATTTCATATTTGTCGCAAGTGAGCTTTATTGTAATAATAATATTATGTTTCTACGTCTTAAACTTAACCGTTGATATTTTATATTTAAATGTTCCATTTAGTGTAATTTTTTTAACATATTTATTTCTAATAACCAAGTAACATACATGTTTTTTTATTGCCCTTGTAGGCAGACGAGCATACGGCCCACCTGATGGTGAGTGGTTACCGTCAAGACATATAAACATATAAACATATTTAGTTATAATTACAATAAAATAGAAAGAAATCACCGTCTCATTGAATTGGTATAGTGCTTATTTTTTAGTGTTCCCTTTTTTGCATAGCTATGTATTGTCTAAACTTCGAGAGTCTATGCTCTATTGGACGGTTTTCAGTGTTAACTGATAACCACCTGTTCTATCTGTTTTCGGCAAAAATAAAATATATTAAAATTATACTTGGATGTACCTCGTACCTTTCAATTATTTTAACGTCCGCCAATGTATCTAATCTTAACATTTATTAAACTGTCCTAAGATTATTTTTTTATGGGTTAGATGGGTGGATGAACTCACAGCCCACCTGGTGTTAAGTGTTTACTGGAGCCCATAGACATCTACAACGTAAATGCGCCACCCACCTTGAGATGTAAGTTTTAAGGTCTCAGTATAGTTACAACGGCTGCCCCACCCTTCAAACCGAAACGCATTACTGCTTCACGGCAGAAATAGGTAGGGTGGTGGTGCCTACCCGTGCGGACTCACAAGAGGTCCTACCACCAGTAAGTAAGAAATTTCAAAACTGATATCAGATCTGAAGTGCCCATAGAAATCGCTACGTAAGCGGGGCGGACTCACGGGCATCTTTTTTTTATTTTTTTTATTGCCCGTGTAGGTAGACGAGCATACGGCCCACCAGACGGTGAGTGGCTACCGTCGCTGATGGACATCAGCTATGCCAGGAGCAGAGCCAAGACGCTGCCTACCGTTTAATACTGTCCACAAGCCTCGTTTGAAGAAGGACATGTCATAGCGCTCGGGAAACATCGTGGTGGGGAGCTCATTCCAAAGCCGGATTATACGTTGCGAAAATGATATCTGGAAACGCACATCTTCAGTTTCCTAGTTGTACACGCTGGAGTTACTACATGAGTAGCTCCAGCGTGTAGAACTACCACCAACTACAACCACACAGGATTAAGGGCCACATGCACGTCTCAATACGTTGGCAATAAACACATAGGATATTATTACCATGGACAGATAAATCAAATGTGTGATATATTTAGTACAGTATTATTATATTAGTAATATTATATTTAGTACTACTATATAGAGGTTGCTAGCTCTTCATATTTAATGATATAAAAAGGAAAAAGCTTCTGATATAAGGGCTTCTGACTTCATCACACATAAATTAGTATCATAAAGTAAATTTAAAATGATTTGGAAAATTTACGGCCCTGCATTTTAGGTTGATCGTTGCCTGCCAATGTGCATCATATCAATCGACTGTGCATTCATATCAATTCAAGTGTTGCAGGGCAATAAATATAATTTTAAATTTATTGTATTCAGATAATGCAGTACTGCGTGTATCTACGGTGTATGGATTTTATTCGGATATAGTTGCCTAGGAAAACGAGTTTTTGGTCGCCAATTATGACTGTAACTGCATTTCTTAAATTAGGAATGGTAAAATTATTATAATACAATTGTAAAAACTGCAAAACTACGACATCCTTATTAATTAAATTTTTCCGTCTATACGGTTTTGTTTTGACTGCAGCTAGATAGAATTTTGGCTACTGCAAGCTTATTTAGCTTTTCAATACTTTTTAGAACAATTGGTTTTTTTTGTATGTTAAGAAGTTATGAAATTGCCTAATATTTGAGAAAAAACAGATTTTAAATTAAATTTGAAGCGTAATTTAATACAAGAACGATTTTCGGAACAATCAGAAACTTTCATATCTGTTTTATGGGGTGATTTGGCAAGTCAGTTAAAATTACATTGAATCGCGAAATGGGTCGAGTTTTGTCTGCACTACGCACAGTCCTGAATTCACGGCGTGATCTTTGATCTCAGTTACAGTCACCGCGGTTTATGTGAACGTCTATTTATATTCACGCCGTTTTAATAGCGTTTTTTGAGGTGAAGACTGCGATCGACGTGCGGAGATTTGTTGTTTCTGTCAGTCAAGGTGGTCTTTAGGCTTGTTTGAAATTAGAAGCAATCATTTCAATCGTAGTAATAAATAATATTATTAAATTTATCATTGGAGTAAAATTTTAATGAAATTTATTTCGTAAAAATAAACGTCTCTCGTAAATTCGGTTCCGACTCGGGATGCTGGTTACAAGTAAACAATGAGCGCTGTCATACCCGATCCTGTAGACCGAATGGTAAATAGTCGACGTCGGCCTAAGCACGTCATTACGGATCCTCCCGATCCACTAACGGTGCTTTTAGGTAACAGAAGCACCGGTCACCGTCCTCGTCGAACCCGTCGCTTGCGACGAAGGGCTCGACGAGCGAATTTACACATAAACACAGCCCACTGAGTTTCTCGCCGGATCCTCTCAGTGGGTCGCGATTCCGATCCAGTGGTAGATTCTGCGAAGCGCTGCTCTTGCCAGTGTTAGCAACACTCCCGGTTAGAGTCCCGTGAGCTCAACTACACGCCAAGGAGAAGCTGAAATAGCCTTTTTTCTCCTACCTACGCCGAAAGTTCGGTTTTCCTCCCGCTGTACAGGGAAGAAAGTCTAACTTTTTCTCCCTGGGTACTGACAAGTGCGCATGCGCGTAGTGATAAAATTCTCCGCCATTGTTGTGCTCGGGTAGTTTGCAATATTGTGTTTAGTGTAAAAGTGAAATAAACAAAAGGCAATAAAATTTAATAGTGAACTATTAAAAAAGATGAGTTCATCAGACAGTTCTTATTCAATTACACACATGTGTACAATGTACTCTAAAGGCTAGATAGGAAAACAGCGCTAATTTTATTAAATTTATTGAAATGTAACTTATTTTTCCAATGTCTATTAATTCCATTTCCATTTTCAATTTCTATTATCGTTGCACGCCTCGCTTGTTCTACGATTCTTTAGAGAGGTGAAGTAGCTGTTTTATACCACGGGGGCATTGAAATTATCTAAAAACAAGAAAGAAAAAAACATGCAGCAAAACGTCAATAGTATTATCACAACTTTAGCACAAGATGTAGCTGATAAATTGGTTATTCTTTAATTTCAATAGGAATTGAGTTAGTAGCTATAAAACAACCCGCGCTCTAAAAGTATCCGTGGCATGATTCATTTTTCGTTATGATTGGATTCATTCGTACTGAAGAACAAATATTGTATATGACATTGACATGTTCCTGTTCAAAAGAGGATTAAGAAGAATAACAAATTCCCATAATAGATAGTTTCCTTTATATTGCTTTATATTTGATATTTATGGGCCATTTTCCGACAGGTGGACTCCACGTTAGTTTGAAACAGCTGGCAATAAAAAAAAATAGAATCATGTTATATTAACGCAGTTAGTATGATATACGAGGGCGGCACTGAAAATTTCACACAACATTACTATTTAAAAATGTATTTATTGCTTTTCGAAGTATTCTCCGCGAAATTTGACACATTCTTCCATACGATGGAACCAATCATTGAAGCAACCATTCCATTCGGAAGTTGGGGTCTCCAAAATGGCCGTTTTGTAGGCGTCCACAGCTTCTTCAGGTGATGAAAATCTCTGTCCACGCAATTTATTCTTTATTTTAGGGAAAGTATAGAAATCATTAGGGCTTAGGTCGGGGCTGTACGGCGGATGGTCTAATAATTCTATGTTTTCTTGCTCTAAAAACTCTTTTGTTCTGTGCGCGGTGTGAGAACTCGCATTGTCGTGATGGAGGATGATGCGGCGGTTGCAGTTCTCTTTACGGAGTTCAGAAACGACCTGTGGCAAACAAATGCTAGCATACCATTCTGCATTAACCGTTCTTTGTCCCTCAAGAGGAATAGTCGTAACATGGCCGGTTTTGGAGACAAACGTGGCCACCATTTTTTTTGCAACACTCCGTGAACGAACAATTTTTGTTGGCTTTAACTCATTTTCGAACACCCAAACTCGTGACTGGTTTTTTGTTTCGGGTTCGTACGCGTATATCCAGGATTCGTCACCTGATACAATGTTGTATACAGCATTTGAGGATCCTGCGTGGAATCTTTCGAGAGTTCTGACGCACCAAGTAACGCGAGCCGCTTTTTGCTCTTCACAGAGCGAATGCGGTATCCATCGGGAAAACAACTTTTTTACACCTAATTGTTCATGCAAGATTATTTGTATTTGACTCATGCCAATGTCTAAAGTTGCCTGAATTTCGCGGTA